AAAAAATAGGTAAATGAGCATGGCCATATCCAATATTGATTCTTATCAATAAACAAATCTTTAACTTCCCGATACTAACTGATAGGGTATCAATATTGTGTATCAGATATAATGAAACTCACATGTTCTTCAAAAGCACGATAACTTCAGAAAGCAAAGCACCCTAGATAGTGCGTCTTGTCCACTATGTAACCTATTAAAAAAACTCATCTCTTGTTGAGAGTTTTGGTCTTGTAAAATGTGACATCTCATTCTCACCTGACTTCAGTTGGGTTTTTGTTCCTTTACTCAACATTGTCTCGCCTCTGACCTCCTGGTGCTGATAATGTCCCTCTTTGACTCGCTCCACATATCTCAGAGAAACACTAAATGGAAGGTCATCTAAGCACAAGATAATATACTCAAAAGTTTGGAGGACTTGAAAATTCAAGGTACAAAATGATAAGTAGGGATAATCCACGGCTAGATGTGTTGCTTGTGCATTAAACGATTTTAATGTTGCCTCCGCGGAGTGTATTCAAACTGTTTAAAGCACAGCTAGCCGTGGATTGTCCCGCTTATATAGCACGGTCATCATTTGCCAGCACTGACAAAAGCTGTTATTGATTGCAGGCTAGGCTACGCAATATTTGACCGGAAGGGTAAAAATGACGGTTATTTTCGTCAGTTAGGGCTTGTTGTTAGAGCTGTAGATACTGCCCGCTTTGAATCAGACACAGAGATAAAGTAGCCTAGTGTGTAAGTAAGATGACATTTATGTCAATTAATGACTTAAAGCATTTATTTGAATTCATTATCGATCGAGAGAGAGATCGAGATTGGAAGTTGATCTAGTATTGCAGGCCTACCTGTCTGTTGGTCTCTAGATTAACAACGAAGCTGTGAGTTTAATTACTTTAAAACCAGCGATGTTACCTCCTCGTTGCTGAGAAGTATAATGTAGCAATTCAGTAGAGAAATATTTTAATAATAAAAGTCGAAGGCAGCGTTTATAAGTTTCTATATGCGCACTGCACGTGAGTGTCAATGAAAACAGCGCGAATGTCGTTGCGTTTGTGTGCGTCATTGAAAACAGCGCATTGATATAGAATAGTGATTAAACTGACTGTTGATATCAGAGTCTAGGAAATCGTGCCAGACCACCACATCCTCTTGGTCATGCGTCATATTAACAGCTTCAGGACAGGGAAGCTCATCCTTATTCCACGGTTCCATATTGACGCACGGCCTTGAGAATCTTCTGAAGCTAATAGAGTGTTTATTGAGAGCTGCTCCTTTAGCTTTTATAAACCAAGGCAACTGCAATGTCACCTTTGCTACTTTATGTCTAGGGAAAGAGAGGCAGAAGAGCCAATTAACATGACTTGAGCAATCTCTTGGGATCCTTGAAAATTATGCTAATCAGGACCCCAGGGAATAAAACATTTTCAGACATGCAAGTTAAAAATTGGAAATGTTTTACCTCCGATATTTGTGTATATGATAACGACTTCCATGCTCACACTTCCATGCTGTCTGATCAGGTCCAAAATTAACAATTGCCAAAGGCCAAATGTGAGTAATGTGAGTGTTTTGGTGAGTAAACAAAAATAGCTATAGTGACAACAAGTGTAAAGCTCATGCCACAGAACCATTGAAATGACCTAGTGAAATTCAGAAGTTAATTCAAATGGTGAAGAACAGGAAATCGCGATCAGTTACAGAACAACATCATAACCCTTCTTTCCCCAGTGATATTCCTCTGACCTCTCTTTTGTAATGTCTCTCAGCCATCTCTCTTTCTACAGTCGTTCTTGCTCTCTCTATCTTCTCCCCCATCATGAGTGGACACGCCCCCTACTGCTGATTGGCTACAAGTGTGTTGTGGTGCTCGGTCTGATCCACTTTCAACAGTATTTCTCAGAAATTGCTTACTGCACCTTTGAAGTCTGTATCTGTAAGACTATATATTTTATCCTCCAGTTTTATGAAAAAAGTAAAAACACAACTCTCCTCGACAAGTCAGACGGTGTTGAGCAATAGTAATAGTGTTGCAGTAATTATGACATAATACTAGATTGTTAAGCTGAATGCAAAAGAAAGCAATGTTTTGGTCTGGTAAAAAAACATTAAGTAAGACACTGTGTCAGTGTCTCAAATCAGGGTCTCATTGCACCTTGTTTGCTTATAATATATTGAATGTGCTCTAGAGTAGACAGACAGCTAAAGTTGTGAGAGCCGCTTTAAATAGAAAGATAAGGTCCTTCTCAGATTATCCTTCAGATGCTATCTCAAGGAGGATTCACAATAGAAGCAAAAACTGTCCGCCCTGCTTTGTAGATACGAGTGCTCCAGAGTCTGTCAAAGATGAGAAATTAATCTCTCCAATTTCCGGTGAATGCAGCAATTTATCTCAATTTTCTTCAGGTCTGTGACAACACTAGACTCTGCTGTCACACTCAAAAGATTAAATTCCTCCAGTCCTCATGAAACAGTTACCATTTGGGAGACTTTATAAACTAAAAACAATTTAAACATAAATATATGGTGTAATGTGACCAAATGAGTTAAAATTATCAATAATCCAATTGTAAAAGTTAAAACTAAAAAAGCTTTTTAAATTTTTTTTTTTTAAATCAATGGTGGCTGACTAATTGAAATGGATATTTTGACAGATTTTAGAATAATGTACAAATGCCTGTATGCTAATTCTTTGTTCTTCTTTGTCATTTGTTCAAAATTCATTTTAACAATAACTAAAAACTTTCAAAAAGACAACATACTGTGAACCACGATGTTGTTAATCGATGCCGCCCAAATTATTTCAACTGAAATTAATTCTGTTTAACAGCAGAACTGGTGGAATATTGAACAGAAAATTCCACCAATCAGAGTCGAAAAAGCAAAACGCACCAAACGAGCTCTTTAGTCAGATTTTCAAATACTTTTTTGGTTCAAATCAAAGTTTGTGTGTTGTAACTCACCTCGTAGACTCGTAGCTGATTGGCTTGGTTCGTGGCTTATACCAGTAACTCTTTAACAAGAAAATGAATGAAAAAAAATACTTCCGGAACCATTGCCACTGAGAAAGGGGACAGGAGCTAATGCATAATTTCTTATCATTTTTACTGTCATAATTGATTATATCTTAAAATGTGATATATCATGATATGAAGTCACAGTTGTGAGAAATAACATTTGCAAATGTGGTATATTACAGTGCAATAACAAGTCATTTACTTTGAGAACAGGCTTTTACAAAGCAGACTAAAATTTCCATGAATATTATAGAAATCCCTTTGATAACTATTCAAAACCATGGGTTGCAACAACAAAGGAATGACATGTACAGATTCTGTGCTTATTAACATCCAACAAATTCTAATTAACCAGTTTCTTTTGATGTGGAATTAATGCCAAGCATCCCACATGATCTCTACGCAGTGCAGTTGAGTCATCTGAAGTGCATCAGGCCTTTTGTCTGATTCATGGCATTGATGTTGACTGAGTAAAATAGCAAGAAAAGAAAAGACTCACCTGAATTGAAGAATAGTTCCTTTTTCTTCTTCTTTAGAAAAACGAATCCTCAATAAGCAAATGCAAAAAACAAATCATGATTGCATCATCATCAGATAAGTGTTTAGGGGCATGCATCTTAATGTTGCTTGACATAGGTTAATTTTTCCAGGTCACATTGTATTTTTAGCCCCATGTTTTCATGTTAGTCCAGAATGTTTACATTAGATGACGTCCTTCTGAGAAACGCTCTGCCGAGGGCGATGTTTGACGTCCAGCTGAAACGAGGCTGAAATGACAGTAAAACGTGCGTGAGCTCGGGGAATCTTTCAGACTTCCTTCGCTTGTTTGGAGCAAAACCACTCAATTGACATCAGAGTTCAGTGATAAATCCATGTTCCCATGGAAACTTCATGCTATTTTTGGGCCTGTGAGTCAAGCTCTATAATAGACATTTGCATATTCATGTCTGGACAAAGAGAGAAAAGATGCTCAAAGTGTTTATCATCAGCCGTGAGCTCTGATTCAATAGCTCCTCGTATCATAATTAGGTGCCATTAATACTGGGAATAATCTGGCATCTTAAAGGACACTTTAGCTCAAAGACAGAGTGTTACAGCTTTCACAAAGATTAAAAAGCAGCTGGTGCAATTTATATGAGAGGCTTATCTCAAAGTAATTGGTCTCAAATCTTCATATCAAAGTGTAGCTAACACTGAAATCAGTTGCAGATATCAAGGCAGACTCAGTTTCTCAAACACCTACCGAAATTAAAGTTATGACTGAAAACCGATCTAAAACATTGTCTTGCACAAATATATTTTAAAAAACACCCCAAAATTATTATTTTAACGTATTAATAAATCATAATCACTTAAAATAATAATAATAATAATGTTAAAGCTATACAGAAATTAAACTTATGACTGAAAACCGGGCTAAAGATATTGATCTAAAACATTGTCTTGCACAAATAAATAATAAAATAAAAAACACCCAAGTATTATTTTAACATGTATTAATAAATAATTTCTAATAATAATAAAATTTTTATGATAATATAATGATGAAATAATATTTTAATAAATAATAATACAATGTTAAAAATGAAATTACTGAAAACCGAAGATATTGGTCTTAAGATAGTGGCCTAGAACATTGTCTTTGAACATTTCATTAATTAATTAATAAAAAGCAACCAAGTATTATTATTTTAACATTTATTTATAATAATCATTCAAAATCATGAATAATAATAATTAATGCTATAATACAAATAAAACTAATGTATACAATGAAAATAAAACAATTTATTTAACATTATATTTACATATGCATCAATAGACAGAGAAATCAACACTGCGCGAGATGTGCTATCGTTTCATCACATACAACCTGATTAAATACATCAAACATTTCACCACAGTACAATACATCTCACATTTCAACATTTGCATGGACAGCGTATCAAGTTAATGTTGCGATATATGGGCTATTATGTAATGATCGTCTTTGTTGTATCACCAGAGTTAATGACACTGCTTTAACTGACGGGTGGGTTGATGCTAATTTGGGCTGGTATTTTTAAACCATCTGAGGGTGGTGGTAAAGCTCTGAGGAATATGATCGGAGAGCGATGCCGTTATTCACAGATAATTCTTGAATAAAGGCTCTGGCCGAGGGCTTTTAGAGCAAGAACTTCTCCATCTGTCAGTCGTAATCCTCATCTTTTCCTGCATCTACCCAGCAGCCTCTAGTTCAACCAGGGCCAGGCGTGCAGAAAGCTGCAGATAACTACAGCCTCCGAAAAACAATCTGTGTCCATTTGTCTTATTCAGGTGGTTTAAGAGCCATTAAACGTGATCTCTTTAATCCGACCAGGTTCATTTACAGGGATTTGATTATGAGAGCACTTTCTGCTGTTCTGAGTGCATTTAAAACTTACAATTGTATACAGGTTTGATAATGCAGACACACAAATACTCCCTGCAGTTTATCTGAGGTCTATACTTTTTGTGCTTTTATGGCCAATTTGTAGGTCTGTGAACAATGGGAATATTTAAACCATAAAAAATATCAAGCCAGCCTAATAGGTTTTTTGAGCATTGGCTACAGTAGTAACTTGCTAAGATCACGAGAGTCACAAGAGAACTGGCAAGGAAAAGATCAATAACGGTGTCTGTTCTTCAAATTGTTCTCATCATGAATGGATGAGATGCGACAGGTCTATATTTGATTTGAAGATGACAGACAACTCTTTGGAGAGCAGACTGTGCAATGTCACACCATCGTGAGCGTACACCCATCGCTCCCCCGTCCAATCGTAGCGCTTTGGCCCACTGAGAAAGGAAACATTCAGAAATGTCTGATGAAGCTGAAAACTGAACATATTTGCGCGCATTATATCACACTGTTAATATGCAATTCAAGAACTAGCATTTCTAATGCCACTCAGTTAAAGAATAAAAAATACTGACACTAAGTAATACAAAGTGAAACATGTTATCAAGGAAATTAGCTGATTCTCATTCTTTTACATAGAACAGATTAAACACAGTTAAGCATTACATACGAACATCAACAAATGACTATCTAACCTTGTCGGCGACGAAAGCCAAATCTGTCGGTTGGGTGTCTGTTTGTTGATAACGTATGTGCCGTGGTCAGAGCCAACTTTCACCGTCAGCACACCACTCTGTTAAGACATTTAACACACATGTAAATGTATGAGAGCTTCAGTCTGTGGCTTTAACATTGAAACAAGAAGCATTGACAGGGAACCTGAAAGAGATTCTTTTTACAAATATTTAACAATTAAACTTATCATAATTGCAAAATATATAAAAATAAAACGTAGGGGTGCACTTATTTGTTTCTCATTTCTGTGGACATTTTTTAAAATAGAATGTTTATAATTAATTATAATCACTTTCACCTATCAATGCAGTCCAAATTAAGTTTGAGCATCAATATGCCAACATTTAAAATAGATAAATAAAATCAATAAATGCAAAGGGTGTACTATTTTTTCCCCCCACAAATTATCCTAAATAAAAAAGAAAAATATGCAAACCTAAAAAACTGATCAATTAAACCACAAACTATTTGTACCATTAAACTGATGCCTAAAACTAGCCTGGGAAAACCCAGACAACTTCCGGCAAATTTAGATTTGCTCTGAAAGTTAGTCTGGCAAATTTCCAATCCGTCGAAATCGCGGCACCAATCAGAAACGTTGGGGCGGGCTTTACACGATGCCGACAGCGCTGGGATTTTGAAGCAGATTTTGTAGCCTACATTACAAAGATGGATGCCGCCGTCGAACATCACTCGTTCGAATCAGCTATCGCGTCTGTTTTAAGCGATTTGAACGTTTCCTTTTTGTTAAAAACCGAGGAAAGAACAACACTCGGAGATGTTTCTGCCGCTCTGCATACGTCATCTCCTTCATCGCTCAGATTGGGTTTAGGTCTATCCGCGACGTCCGTTGGTGACGCCCCTCTGGAAATGATTTGTCTATGACGCTTTGCCAGACCATAACTCAAGTTACAACTGAGAATGGTCTGGTTTTAACCAGGCTAGCCCAAAACACCACTGGTTCAGAATTCTTAAAGAACATGCATATGAAACAACCTCCAAAAAGATGATCTATATGTGTGAATGTATAGTCAGATCCGAGGCCAAGCATTGGGAACATGGCTCAATTTGTCAACAAAACCTTGGCTTGCAGCTGTCCGAATGTTTGATATAAAGGGTTGTGGTATCATTATATCATATCAACTGTAGCAACAGAGTCAGTGTGCAAAAAGAGAATTTTCTGAATCAAATTTCAGGGGACGGCTGCACTGTGAGGCTAGTGTTTGCCGGCTGCATGTGAGGCTATAGAGGTGTAAAAACAAGCTGCTTAGAACAAGTAGCTGACAGGAAGCTCACCGCCTGACATTTATCCAGCCAGAGGAGAGCGTAGAGCGTGAATGACCAATCAATCTGTCAGCAGGGCCTGCTGGCCACCCGCCAGGTGCTTAAATGGAACGAGTGCAAGGACTTAATCACTCACTGGGTTCGAGACAGATCTTTGTAAAAAAAAATCTAATAAATTATATATATATATATATGTGTGTGTGTGTGTGTGTGTGTATGTATTTATGTATGTGTGCTTGTGTGTGGAATGATTGGAAGTTACATTAGTCTCTTACAATAACATACTAAAAGCTCAGTGTTTGTAGCCTTCATAAATCCTGCAGGAAATAGGCATTTTCTCTGCAAGGTGCTCCAACAAAGGCTGCTGCACAAAAAGCAGTTTTTGGCTGTGAACTCTTAACAGGAGTTGTGCGGGAGCACTCAACAGCAATAACAGTCAAGCAAACCTCTTTTCTATAAAAGAAGAAAAGATACAATCATAAAAGTTTTAGGACCCCTTTTCACCTTACAGAGCAACGACCTAATTGCAATGTTCCACAAAAAGGCTGGGGTGGGGATGTAAAGGTTAGACAAATGGGTTACATGACAAGTAAAGACTGGAAACACCAACTCAATTCATTTTAATTAAATTAAGAGTTCTTGAATTATTTTTTATCTTGCTAATTTTTCTTTTCTTTTGTAAAGGCGATGGTCTATATTGTGTCTGTATATGTTTTTTGTTGCTAATGGTTAATTTAAAATCGATTCATTTTTCTACTGTTATTTTCTCACTGAAAATACAATTCAATCAAGAATCAGATGCAATCCATTGAAAACAGCATTTCTTGTTTCCAATCATTTTAGACCAACATTGACCCCTACTGGACATCTAGGCAAAACAGACTTTTCATATAATTGAGATGTAAAAGCACTGCAGGCATTTAACATGTAAGGATGTGAGAATAAGGGCATGTGTACTTACAGAAAAGACAACGTCATAGTCCATTCCAGTGAAGTTCTCATCTGTGAGGTCTTCAAAATAATCTGATAAAGCATCCATTGTCTCATCTGCTAGTCTCCCATAGTCGGTCTCTGTTAGTTCTCTATACAAAACAATTACTTTGTAGAATAAAAATAGTAGTACCCCATCATTGCAAAATATTGGTGCATGTGATGCAAATGTATAAATAATATATGAGAACGAAGGTAACACTTTACAATAAGGTCCCATTAGTTAACGTTAATTAAAGGTGCAATGTGTAAAATTTTTGAGTATCTATTAACAGAAATGCAATATGACATCCATAACTATGTTTTCAGTGGTGTATAAAGAACTTACCGGTACTTAATAAACCGTAATGTTTTTATTACCTTAGAATGAGACATTTATATCTACATAACCGTGGGCACCCCCTTCTATGAAGGTCGACATATTGTGACGTCATGTTTCTACCGTAGCCGACAGCGAACACACAGCGCTACAGAGCGCGTTTCGTTCATACCTTGAAAGAGAAGCAGCAGAAAGCTAGAAGCTAGCCATAGACACCGTGAGTAGTGACTTTTCCCTTGTCAGTGGTGTAAAATATGTAGTTGGATTGTTTTATGTAACTTAGTTCTTCTCCCTCGCTGTGTCATGGCTTTGCTATGTGGGGCTAAATGTGCTGGTTACGTTCGTGAGACAGCTGATTAGTACTCTTGTCATTGACCGTAAAACAGTAACGTTACAGGAATCACCAACCCGTCGATCGCGGTCGACAAGTCGATCTTGGAAGCATTTTAAGTCGATCGCGAAGAGTTTTCAAAATCAGAGAAAAAAGCCTATTGTGTGTAGTAAATGGTGTCTAGGGGATGCGGAGGCGCGCGCTGTTACAATCACGTCATTTTTGCCGCGCTCACCTTTGGGCTCATGCGGACGCGTCGAGTTTAAACAAGGCTTTACGCTTCAACCAGCTCAGCTACAGTAACAGCTCATATTTAGCCAGCTAAACTTTTACTACCCTGTTAGAAAACATATATAGTTGCATAGTTTCATGTGGTTCTTCTCCCTCGCTGTATTATGGGTTTGCTATGTGGGGAGAAATGTGCTGGTTACGTTTGTGAGACAATCAGCTGATTACTATTATTATATTATATATTAAGACCCTTGATCCTCACCTGACTATGGCTTTGTAAACTTTATCCATGATGTGGTTTATAATGGACTGTGGTACAGAAACAGTGACAATGTTACACACTCTTGGCTTACTCTGGCTATTCTCTGCTGTCTCAGACGACGATATGTTTGTTCCGTTTTAGCCACCGTAGCTTCTTCGAAAGGGAGGGGTGAACAGTGGGCTGAGCCCTTAGTGCAACTCGCAACCGAACAGATAGATGTCGCTAAAAAATACACACTGCTGCACCTTTAAAGGGATAGTTCATCTAAAAATGAAAAAGTTGTCATAATTTACTCACCCTTATGATGATCCAAACCTGTATGAGTTTCTGACTTCTGTTGAACACAAAAGAAGATATTTTGAAGAATGTTGGTAATCAAACAGTTGACAGTAGCCATTGACTTCCATAGTAGGGGGAAAAAAATACTATGGAAGTAAATGGGGACCAGCAACTGTTTGATTACCAACATTCTTCAGAATATCTTCTTTTGTGTTCAACAGATGAAAGAAACTCATTTGGAACAACATGAGGGTGAGTAAATGATGACACAATTTTCATTTTTGGGTGAACTATCCCTTTAATGCATACCTAATATTAACAATGAGCAATACATTAGATATAACTTTTGATTTGAATAATGTATAAGTAAATGTTAAAATTAACATTAACCAAGATTAATAAAGAGAAAGTATTTTTTTCACTATTAGTTCATATTAACTAATGTAGTTAACTAATGTTAACAAATGAAACCTTATTGTAGAGAGTTACCAATGAAAAAAAAAGGTTTTATTAATAGTTAAATAAAAATAGATTGTACAGTATAATGTTTTCTGTGTCAAAAATACTTTTAGCTATATATTACAGACTGTAAATGATAAGAACTTTGCTGCTTATTTAAACTAGTGTATTATTTGAATTTGAATATAAACCAATTTTATGAGGACAGAGAATTGGAGGCTGATATTCCTAGGATTTTTCTTGTTATACAAACAAATAGCCTAAAAAAAAATGTGTATTAATGCGTTTAATGCAATTTAAAAATTTTACACACTAAAATACAACCCAGAAATGTAATATAAAATAATTTTTGAATAAAAATTAAATTAATATAAACATTTTTGATGGACAACAATCGTACAAAAAACACATTTTCAACACAGTGATAAATCATAACCAGCAGTATCTTACAGTTTTTCTCAGTCGCTTTGGTACATTTCTCGAATCATCCTCGACATTTGTAAAACAGAAAGTGCATTTCTCAAAACAATTCGTACAAATAGCAGCAGAACACCATGGATTACCTGCAAAAGCCAGTCTCTCTTGCTCAAAATCCTTAGTTCATCTCTCAAAAGTAAATATCTGTGTCAATGAACAAGTCAGTGCCATCAGAATGACAAGTCCTTGTGTCATTGTGTACGGATAAGAAAGTCTTATTGCTTAGTCATGTTGTCAATATAACAGTGTACTCTGGAGGGATAATCTGATGTAAACTATGGCTAAAGTTTTGATGAAAATTATTGTAAATTGTAGGTTACACCTTAGTGTATGTGGGAGTTTGATTGCAAGAGACTGGACAAGATTCACATTTACGCTTTTACTGTTTGTACTGTAATTTGTTGACAAACCATGTCATTGCAATACAGAAAGGAAAAGACAGCACTGCATAGCACAAAGAAAAAAAAAGAAATGTGAACAGGACAGATTTAGAAAAAAAGTCTAATGGAAATGTATAGAAATATGCTTGACATATTATGACAACTTGTTGTAAAGACATGTAAAGACTTATGCTATGAACTAATGCCTAAATGTTGTGGGGGGTGAGACTATTCAACAGAGACCCATTATAATACATTTTGATCAACATGACATAAGCAATTGATAATGTAGGAAACAGCAGAGAATTGTACATAATCATTTGCATGGATGTACCAAAGCATTTGCAACTTGTTCAAAGAAATGAGAAACTGCTTTTTTGAAGTGCACAAGTGACACAATGATGTGAAGATTGAACAGGTAGTTATGAGAATTTCAATTATGATCTGAGAAATGTATCGAAGAAGCGACTGAGAAAAACTGTAATGCATAATCAAAGTACAAGGATTATTGCAAATATTGTGCTCTATGAGTCAGTGATTATTACAAGATTACACTTTTCACTCAGAACAATATTTACCTCAACTGAGGTGCGTTTTCTTCTCCAAGAGGTGCACTTAAATGAAGTTCTCTTCTCTTCAGACTGCCATCAAACCACTTTATCAGACAATATGGATGGATATGATAGCAGGTTATTTAAACCTTTATACATTTTTATACTTGATTTAGAATTGTTTATTTTAATTCTGCCATAAAAGGCACAAGAGGGTTTGAGTCCTTTACCTGTGTATGTCCTTCCCTTGTGACTGTCTTTGCTGAAGAAATACTCCTAGATTTGCCACCACCACATATTGACTAAAATCAAATGGGTCATAAACAAAACAGAGATAAAATATTTTTCGGACAACTAAAACACAAACAGTTACACTTATTTAGGTAATCCAAATTGGACAGATTTTCAGCATGAATGACCAGAATCAAGTAGCTGCTAGCCTAATTAGACTGAAAGTACTGAACTACAGGCAAAGTTTCATGTTTGATATTTCAAAGAGCCAAAAAACAAAACAAAAAACACGTCCTAGTCAGTTACGTCACGTCCTTACACAATATAATAAACAAATAAGAGACATTCACGACAAATAAGGCAATATAATATGAGACATTCATTGGCAATTCAGTCATGCTAACATGCCGGAAATGTTTGTTTTAAACTCACTTCAAGTCCACAGCTCATTGTTGATAGTCTGGAGGTTTGTTGGTGGCATTTCCATCTGGAGCTCAAATTTAGAAGATACAGAGCACGACACGTAATACTTAACCTTGACATAGCTTCAAAAAGGATGCAAGTATCTGGCCAGTCAGTCTGATTGCATATGCACGCTTTCTTTGACTGTCCTAGTTACATTTCAAAATAAAAGTCCCAACAAAATAAAAGTCTGTTTTATTCAGGAAGAATTTCGTTCTGATTTAATCTCTTTTTTAAGTTTTCTTTTAAAAGTGAAAATAATTAGAAAGTATTAATAATAATAATAATAATGATGATTATGTTTAATGCTGCCTTTACGTGCTTTCGGAATAATCGCAAATAGCCTACTAGTTTCCTAGTTAAAAAAACATTGGACATGAACGCTCAAGTCAAAATTTGAATGCGATGAGCTCGTAATCACGACTTGGGAAGTAGGACATTTCCGATAGCAAGTGAAGGCAGAATAATTTATATAGCGCAATTTCCATAGCTCAAGAACGCTTTATAATTGACATCTATAGGCTACAAGAAGAAAAGATAACAACAATTAAATAATACAAACTACAGAATAGAAGTACAAGAATAATACATAGACAAAAGAAAGGCATTGCATAAACAGGGTAGCAAATAAACAAAATACAGAACAACACGTATGATATATTACTCAGTTAATACTTTAACGATGATAGATAGATAGATAGATAGATAGATAGATAGATAGATAGATAGATAGATAGATAGATAGATAGATAGATAGATAGATAGATAGATAGATAGATAGATAGATAGATAGATAGATAGATAGTACCCACTTCAGACCAGTAGGTGGCATTAACTGCTCACATTGAGAGCGTGGCGGTATTATGGGAATGAAAGATGTTTCTCTGAAGTGCAGGAGGAGGCGGAGACTCACTGCCGTATGACTTTAGTCGCCTTCAATAACGATTCCCATAAAGTACAGGGACACTCACTGACTGCACTTACATCTAGTGAGAAAAACATTACAGGCTCTCGGAATATCAGTGTGCACTCAACCTCTCTCTCTCTTTCTCTGAAAGCAAGATATACCCTCACCTTAGAAGACATATAAAGGTAAGATATTTTTAAAATAATGTTTATTGCGACGTAACCTGTCTGAACCTGTCAGATGGACATACACCTGTACCTGCTACCAGTTCACCGGTGTGTTCTTCCGCTCTCGTGTAGGCAAGACGTCATATTTGACATATTAATTAATGTCTTGAATTATATGAAATATTTTAGCTATGCATGATAGGAAAAAACTTTAAGCAACGTATTAGCCCAATTCAAATAATTTAGGACACATTATAAACTCAAATTTTATCTTGTTATATTTGTTCATTGCAAAATCATGACATGACAGACTATTTTAACATTTCAAGATTTTACCTTTTACTCTCTGAACGTGTCAAAAATTACGTAATATTATCCCAGGGAAGAGGTTTCTTAGAAATATTTCGAAATTTTGATGTCGAGTGCATCTCAAAACCTAGCTGTCTGTCTACTGGTGAACGTGATTTCACAAAAAAAAAAAAAAAAAAATTGTTCCTGGAACAACATTATAATCACCCAATCAGATTTGAGGGTCAAGTTTAGGCTTACAGCCAGGGTTAGGTGCTTCTACATCAATGTTATTCATCTAAATTTTCAGGATAAGTTATGAGTAGGGTTAGGTTTAGCTAGGGATATGACTAAATTTTCTGACTGGAATGTTGATCCAGGAACATTAGTTGGCAAAATCACGGACCTGCGGTCCACAATTTTGGAAATCATTTAGGCTAATGCTGTTTTTAAAACATGTTTGCATGTTTTTATAATCTTTAAAGTGTTCCTTATTTAAAAATCACACATAAACACATTTAAGTAGGGGAGACCCGGGCTAGTTGTCACATATGTATTGCCACAAAAGGTTAATCTGTGTTCAGTGAACTGTATAATTTATCTCTGAGCAATAACAGTGAATATTGTAAATAGCTTTTTTTTGTCAAGTCACCTTTATTTATATAGCGCTTTGTACAATACAGACTGTTTCAAAGCAGCTTTCCAGTGATTACAGGAAAATGATGCATTTCAGCTGTTGTTCAGCTGAAGTCAGTTCAGACATTTTGTAGTCAAGTCTTTAAGGTATATGCGTATACAGAAAATGTATAGGTCTCATCATATTGATTGATTTTTATAATGTCAGTGGTATAGAACACAATAACTACATATTTACGTTATTTGTGAATATCCAGATTGAATATAGTCTGGTCCTATTACTGAAACGTACTGTGTGTTATGAGAAAAGTCATAAAGAACATATTGAATTGCTATTGCCTACAATTTACCGGATCAAATGAGGTTATGAGAAAAGAATTATAACTTTTAGCCATGTTGAAAATAACCCTGACTGGGCAGTTGTTTAGACAAGCTTTGTACCTGGAGGCACAAAATCACATGACAGCCAAAAACAATGAGAGGAAGAAGCAATATTCCTCTAGTGTGTGTGGTTGCGAAGCTCAGTGTCTCTTGTGCAGATCCTTTTCCAGGTGGTTGTTTGCAAAAGCGTTCTGCAGCAGTACTGAACTGCATAAATCTGTATCAGATGTTTGCACTTTTGTGCAAAATAACCTGGTAGCAACTTTTTCTTCATTAACACAAATATGAGATATGTTCAGAATAGAATATTAACATAACAGTCTCACTATTTCTGCAGTCTATATGTCTACTGTCCATAGAATGCATAAAACGGTCAAGGTTTGTCTAGTATTAGTAATAATTCATTGCAGTTTAGCAGAGCATCTATAACATCTCTTTTTATGACTTACCATTTGTCTGACTAAAGTTTTATTTTTTACACAAAATTGAATAAGAAAAATAGCCTATTTGATTACTGCATGCCACTCATGTGCAACGCAACATGATGAGGTTGTACTTCATGTTCTTTTTTAATGCACAAGTTTTATCTGTATCCCAGTCCTCTGTAAGATCAATAAGCCACGTCATTTCATTTCATTTGAATCTTTCTGGGGCCTTTCAAAGCAGCAGCTGAATGATGAACAGCAGTCGTGACCGGCGGTCTCACTCCCATGCACATTTTTTTATTGCTCCCACAGTGGCATGCTACATTCCTCCCTAGTATTCAGACTGCAGACAGCCAATAGACAGACTGACCCTGACCAGTTTGACCACCTCTTATATAAGAAATAAGATCTGTTTTATTTAACTAAGCTGCTCTTAGATCAGTACAGAAGAGCTGAGATGGCATGTGACATGCCCTTTTGACCTTGATGTGTAAAATACCTTCTCCCTGGCTGGATTATGTCACCATCATCATTAGTATACCTGTAGTGGGGGATTAGATGGTGAACTTTTGACTAAAAGAAGTTTTGGTCACATGATATCAAGATTAGTATGCGTTACTTGGATGGGTTAAATGTAGAGGACAAATTCTGAGTATGGGTTACTAGTTGGCCTTCATGTCACGTCACTCTTTCTCCTTTTCCATCTCAAAACCTATTCTGCTCACAGGTGATCGGAGGATAGTGCATGATCTTCCGATCTGTTGGATGATGTTTGAAGATGTTGTTTGTTGATGAATTTTTGCTTTTTAAAGTGGTTTCAGTTTAATATGTTGCAGGGCAGTCTCATTTATTGATAACAAATAATATTGATGATAATATAATAATATTGGGCTTGTTTTTGAACCTGCGGTTGCTTGTTTGTCTTGCGAGAGTTGGCAACACTGCTTGTGAATAATGTTCTATATTTGGTGTTATATTGCTAGTACACGTACAGTATTTGAATGTGCTTTACTGAGCGGTAAAAAGAGCATAAATTGCTCTGTTAAGGTGCAGTAAGCGATTTCTGAGAAACACTGCTAATATTTGAAATCAACACAAACAACCACAGCACACCCTCCCTTCATTGCTCCGCCCCCAAAATGCTCTTTATCACATGTCTCTTCATCATAGCTGAAGCAAAATAATTCAATAATAAAGAAGATGATGAACGAATTACAAAGAAGAACAAAAATGTAACATACAACACGAAAGAGTATAATGCAAGCAAGAGTAATTGTTAGTCGCCAGCAGTACACCAGCTCCAGACAAACAATGACGCATAAAAACTTGTTACTAGTCTTGTTACTATAGCAAACATTACAACAATGTTACTCACACATATGGAGCAGAAACAACACAACCTCAGCATCCGTTTTCAGGCCTTCTCGCTTAGGTCTCCAGCACGGGAAAACTTTTCCTAATATTAACACAGGTTCTAAAGCTCTTACCTGATCATTACCCTTCTTTTACCAGTGATATTTCTCTGAACTTTTCTCTTTCTTCAAGCTCTCTTTCTTCAGTCGTTCTTCAAATCTCCCTCTTGCTCACTCTCTCTCCTCCCTCATGAGTGGACACGCCCCCTACTGCTGATTGGCTACAAGTGTGTTGTGGTGCTCGGTCTGATCCACTTTCAACAGCATTTCTCAGAAATTGCTTACTGCACCTTTAAGGCACCTTTACACAGCCTATAAGGCTACTGTGATCAGGCTATGTGTCGATTCATTTTATATTTTAAAATTATTTTAAAAGCTAAAATGATTTTTTTTTTAAATGTATTTATTTTTAATTTATAATAGAGATTCGTTTAAAATAATTTCTGCCATTATCATTTTTAATGAATGCGTCTCTGCAGCATAAAACAGTGTAAATGCGACTTTTTTGTATGCCACTTTAGATGCAGCATTAGTTGATCAGTTTGCAGCAAAGCAAGCAGTGTTACTTGATTCATTAGTGTAGTGTAATGTTTATTCATTAGTGCAGTGTAAACCTGAGAAAACGAAAAGACTGCGAGTTGCATAGGATTTCTTATTCTTTCACGTATCTCTCACTGCTGAAGTTTATTGAGCCAGTGCTTTTGAATGGGAAATCAGCAGATGCAAATGAGTGTCAGCAAAAAACACATTCACAGCATCGTGGTCATATTTCTCTCTAAACCTGTGTGTAAGTCTCCCCTGAAGAATTGCATAACAAAACCTGTGATGACGCATAGCTGAGCCAAAGGTTGACGAGACGAAAACCTTCATAGTCTGAACAACCACAATGTCACACTGTTCTTGAATATAAACTTACAGATGATTCAGTTAATTGTGACTCCAGTACTAGCTGCAAAGGACATTTCTCTCGTTGACCCAATGAAAAAAACGTGAGGTTTTCATTTGACAAGTTATATAACCACTTTCCCTGAGCTTGTTTCAGCCTGTAGGCTATTTAGCAGGCGGTCATGATCACTTGTGTCTTGTGACATTTGTAAAAGCATAATGAAATGCATTCTTGAACGTTACTGACCTTGAATATGTCTTCTTTTATTTTGTATGTGACGATAATAGCTTGTTTGAAAATTACTTTATGTTTTAGTCCATCTGTTAAAACTAAGTGTAGATACTTCACTCACTGGAAATAATAAAATAGGAGTGTGAAATAGTTCCGGATCCACTATAAGTCTCTCCATAATAAGCCATGTAAAAGATGGTTGCAACGGTGTTCTGAGTAGTTTGGTCACATGACATGCTAATGCTGTTTGGCATCAAATCTTGCATGACTTATTAATGGCAATATTTTTTTTAATTGAACACAGCCATGGATGAAAAATCGAGAAGAAAAATTGAATTACATTTAAATTTAAAGGAGCTGTATGTAAGAAATGTATTTCAATGAATCATAAAATGGCCCTGATGTGTCTCTAGACATTAAGGAATCATGTTCATTTCAAATACTTATATCACTGACAACAGTAGTACGGCCACGATATTGTCATTTAAAAAGTGAAGTTGCAGCCCTCAACTGATGTTGATGTTGTCATCTTGTGTTTTGGCCTGAAGCCCCACCCTCCACCTATCTACCAATCACAAAGTCAGTAGTGTTTCGGCATCCGGGTTGCCAGCTCTGCTAGTTGAAAGCTCCTTGTAGCAGCCTACGTTCCTGCTGGATCCTGCAGCCTATCTGGCAACCTCGAGTCAGGGGGGAGGGGGAGGGGATACACCGCTCTACAGTAATTTGAAAGTGATTGCAGTACCAGTTTTGGCCACAATC